CTATTTAAGCTGCTGAATGTGTTCTTATTATATCATAATTTTGTTTTTTAATAATACACATCAAGTTTCTTTTAATAAACTGTAACAAAAGAGAGATTTGCTTAATATTTTTTAGTGTTTTGCCGCCTTGTAATGAAACACAGTAGCCCATCTGTCTGTTTGTTAAACCAAGATTCTTAAACATATAAATAATTAATATCTGGCCTAAGTCTCATCTTTTTGTTTTGACGAATAATTCCAATTGAGGAAAAGATCGTGGAAGTTCCGCATGTTTTGAACATGCTATTGTTCATAACTGGTTTACATCGGAACTCTGTGTAGAGCGTTGCGCAATTTCAGTTGTTAAACTCTGTGTAACGGAAAAATCGAAAATTGTAAACCACACGTAGGTAAACAATTAATAACAGAATTAATACGTTTCTTGTGTATAGTCAGACCTTATTGATTTTTTAGAATTCGAATGTCAAATTAGCTGTTATGAGAAAACATGTTCAACACAAGTTAACCGAATTAATGAAAACATAAACACTGGGTAATCAATTAGTAAGTTAGTAAAACTATAATTATGTCATTATTTGTGTAATTTAATCTGATGTTTGTCAGTTTTGATGAGTGCGGGAGACTACATTTTGTTCAAACTTCTTTTTGAGATTACGTGACAATCCTTTATATTTATTAAATTTTTTACGAATAAATTATTTCCATTTTGCTTGTTTTTTTGCAGATGTTTGGTGAAAAATCCCGAATATCGACCGTGTATCCAAGAAATTCCCCAACACCCATTTTTAGCCCAGGTTGAAGGGAAAGAAGATCAGGTTTGTGATCCCAATATGTTTTCATGATGTTATCAAATATTGTTTATAAGCAATTTACATGTTCACTGACAGAACATAGACTGTTGCAAGCTGAAAGTATTTTGTTAATCAAATGTATGTCACTATGTTACGTAAGTTTCATACATTAAATTATAAGCGATTTCTTGAATAAGAAATACATGGTTAGATTATATTTATGAATTAGAAAATTTAAAAATAAAAAGGCTTAGAAAAAACTTCAATAGAAACAACTTGCAAATCTAAAGTAACGTTTATTTCATGCTGGTTTAATTTGATATTATCAGGTCATTGCAATTATGTTATTTTTTCAAATGTTTTGTGTGAGTTTTATACAAAAGATTGTTGTATTGTTTTTTTATGTTCTTTCGGTGGGCTGATTCTTTTAAGCTATAAGATGAAATTAAAGCCAAGTCCAGGCCACTTAACTGTAACAAATTAGTTTATTTCTTCCTTGACATTTCTGCAAGCTGCTTTCATTTGTACACTGTTGCAACTTATTGTAGGCCTAAGTTTACAAATGACATCCAAACGGAAATACCTCGCTAATAGTAATATACTAACAAAAAATAAACATACTTGTGCGATTTCACGGCTAATCGATCGAGTAATTGAGTATACGCGATAGCTAACACTTATCCAAACACTTCACTCAAAATGCACGCTTAAAAACAGCTGATTACTCAATATTAATTCATTATTCACCACTCGCTCATAGCAAGATACTGATTCTCGTACTTATAATCTAGCCTTGTTTCAAGATACTTCAACAAGTTACTAGATTTTCGTTACGTGGTCTAAATCGTCCTAGGTCTGGTTCCACAAACTTACTTAATCTTGTCATGTGCCAAATATGGCTCACAACAATACGTTGAATTAGATTTTTGAAATGAAAATTTAATAAGTAAAAGAAGGTTTAGAAAATATTTCAATAGACTTGTTTTGCTTCTGATTCTTGCATAACACAAGGGCTATGTACGTACACCGTCAACTCTTGGGTTACTCTAATCTAATTGGGAAATTTGATTGTCTTTCTTAAAACGCTCCTACGGCTCCAAACTGCGAAATGCTATTTTGTGGCAATAGGACGCGAATCATGGAACTTCACACCCATAGTGTGGCATACTAACTACTAGGCCACACCACGTATATTTCTAAGAAACAACTGGTAAATGAAAAGTAACAGTTAACCTATGCTAATATGGTATCCTCATATCACTGAAGTTATGTTATTGCTTTTTCGGTTTACCTAATTACAATGAAACCTAAGGAAAGCTCGGTTTCATTAAGAATTTCTTGAGTTCAGATTCACATAAATCTGTTTATCAAAACGTAGATAAAAATTGTTAGATTATTATTGAATCTATCGTAAAAATTAAAGGTACGCAATTTTAAATTTTATAGCTTCGCTCAGAGCTCGTGGATATTTTGAAGAAGAACCCTGGGGAAAAATTGCGAAATAAGCCATACAACGTAACCTTCAAAAATGGTCATCTTAAGACAATCAGTGGACAGCCACATGAGAAAATTTACGTAGATGATCTGGCATTTCTCGACAGCCCGACAGAGGTACGTAGCCTGCAGAAAACTAAATATTCTGTTGTTAACTTAGATGTGTAAATAACCAGACTAATACATGTACAGTATCATTCTGATTTGTTTTGTAAACGTCCTGTCTTACATTTACAAAGTGATGATGTGATAGTTCTTTTTACATGTGAAAGTGATGGCGTGTTAATTTTTTTATATCTACAAACTGATGGCATGTTGGCCCTTTTCACATATACAGAGAGTTGAATACATTATATTAGAATAATTTTAAATTTGCAAAGCGGAAAGTCACGGTGAAACTGAATGCATCAAAACTACATTTTGAAATTGTTTGACCTTTTGTAAGTAGTGTAATACCACCAAAAATTATCGGTTTGGGGAAAAGCATGTAACAGTCCTTTTCGATGCAAAATATTCATAAACTTTAATCACAAAGAATTTAGGATTTTTAATACGATATATCTAATTTGGGGAAACAAGACTATCCAGAAAAAAATTCTGCAATAATTCGTACCCCAGTCATAGCAAACAGAGTACGTCGTCTTGTGACAAATAAAATCAACTACAAGAACACAGGTCAGTGGCAAAAGTCGTCCACGTGACCCAGGCAACAAAACACAACATAATAAAGAAGGGTTTCTGTCTGGAAACAAAACCAACTGTGTATGGGTACACCAAAATAAGGCTTCCAGTCATAACCCTCCTTTCAGTCATTACATACCTCAAGCAGCTGAAGAATAAATTGGTCTTCATGCTATTCATTACGATTGGTTTGTTTTGAATTTCGCGCAAAGCTACACGAGGGCTATCTGCGCTAGCCCTCCCTAATTTAGCAGTGTAAGACTAGAGGGAAGGCAGCTAGTCATCACCACCCACCGCCAACTCTTGGACTACTCTTTTACCAACGAATAGTGGGATTGACCGTCACATTATAACGCCCCCACGGCTGAAAGGGCGAGCATGTTTGGTGTGACGGGGACTCGAACCCGCGACCTGCAGAGTCGAGCGCCCTAACCATCTGGCCATGCCGGACCTATTCATTACGAAGGCATACTAGTAAACTTGCCTGACGCAGTGCCTATGGATTTCTGTATGATCGGGCAGGTAAAATGGGCGCATGTAAACCGTCGTCTTCGTAAACTAGGTGGATTGTGGAAAGCTTTGATAGAAGAGTGTGTTGCTTTGGACATGACAGTCTTCGATCAGACATAAAAATTATTTCTAATATCACAGTTTTTTTTTTTCGTACCCTTAATCGAAGCTCCAAAAATGCTTCATTAACTTTTCACCGTGTCATAGCGGCTTGGCTTCAAGAACAAAAATCAATACAAAGTTTCTTTTATTGTATTTTTTATTTCCCTTTTTCTTCTTTTCTCGAATTGTAAAACTCAAAATTATTCCCATACCTTTTGAATTATTATTCAGAAGAATGTTTCCCTCTGATTTAGAAAACAGTTGTGTCTTAGTTATTTTTATATACTTCCTATCTTTAACATTTCCTTCAAGAATCATAAGAATGAATTTGGTAGTCCTGTTTTTAAACATGCTTCAATAGTTAAGTTTAAAGAATATAAGGCATTTTGATTTTAGCTGATCTGGAAATGACAAGAACAGATAAAACCAAATGTGCTCCACAAACTAAACAATCTACACCTCGTTCAATTTGAACGTTTTCTTGCTGTTTGTCTATTCTCTGCTACTTAATTACAAATAAAGCAGTATTTTTTAGAATCAAATAAGTTGTGAAAATGAATGTAAATACTATATTTCAGGGATTCAGTAAATGAATATTTTTCTGGCAAATAGGAAGACGTAATAAAATTGTAGTACAGCCATTCTTATATATTTTATACACAAAATTAAGGGGAAAAATTTGCTGTTGTTTGTATATACTGTATTATAGGAAGTGGTCCTGGAGAATCTGGAGCAACGGTATAGAAAAGGAGAGATATATACATTTGCTGGAGATGTTCTGCTGACTCTAAACCCGGGGAAAGTTTTGCCGCTCTACGGAGATCAGGTAAACATAAGTACCACTACTGACTTGAAGAATTCAAAAATCGCATTGTCAGTACAAAACGTTTCTACTTCTCACTTATAATCTATTCTTCACATTCTTAAAATAAAATGATTCAGTATCGAATAACCTGTAGTTCTTAATGCACGTTAAGAAATCTTCAAGTTGTATATTTCGTATGTTTGTTTGTTATGGATTTCGCGCAAAGCTACACGAGGACTATCTGCGCTAGCCGTCCCTAATTTAGTAGTGTAAGACTAGAGGGAAGGCAGCTAGTCATCACCACCCACCGCCAACTCTTGGGCTACTCTTTTACAAAAGAACAGTGGGATTGACCGTCACATTATAACGCCCCCACGGCTGAAAGGGCGAGCATGTTTGGTGGGACGGGGATTCGAGCCAGTGACCCACAGATTGCGATTCGAACGCCCTAACCACCGGCCATGCCGTGCCTCAATAGCGCGGACGCGAAAGCGTGTCACAAACATATGTTAGGTACAAAAAATTAAAGGTTTATTCTTTACAAACCCCGTTGTTTGTTCAGTCATTAAATGCATGGTTTTGATTTAATCGTACAATGTCCTATTACGAGAGAATGCTGATTATATTCCTTGAAAAAAGAAACTAAAAGAAACTATTATATTAAGTGTAGAAAACAATCATCCGCAATCCAATAATATGATGACACAAATACATACTTTTAAGCACACACTTTGACAGATTGGTTTAGGATACACATGCTGGATGCAGAAGAATGTGTTCTGTCCAAATAAAAACGCAGGACCTACTCCTATTTTTCTCGGCAATGTACTGACACACAGTCCTACATCTCTATCTGTACAAACGTACCAGATGTTTGGAGGTGAGCTGATCAGTAGTATCACGCTTCAGAGTTTGGTTTTTTATTAAGAACGAGCGGACCTTATTATAATAATAACAAGTGGTATACGTACATAGAATAAAGGTTTGATTTTCAAATGTTAATTAGTATAACTTTAACTTAACTCGTCTCAAGGAAACATACTATTTAACTCTCAGTAGCAATGTCCGACAAACTTGATTCCATGAGGAATTCGAATTTGTTTTCATTCCTACTAATTAGTCTTTGGGCATGCGTAGTACATTGCTTCTGTTCTGGATGCTAGCGACAGTTAATATATCAGTATCTATAAGCATAAATACTGGTTTCTGTTTTGGATACTAACAACAGTTAATATATCTGTAAGCGTAAATACTGGTTTCGTATATTCAAGGATACTCTTCAGTTTCCCAAGTAAGACACTTTTTGATAACACCGACATAACACTGAAAAAAAATTATTTGTTTTGAATTAATAATAATGAAGAGATAAAAATATATGTGGTTTCTGATACATGTATATATATATATATACACACAAATATAATGTTAATCGAATTTCATGTGTTTACTATTAAGTTTTAAAATAACAAGATGCCAGACAATGTTAGAAGTTTAAACACTAATATAGAAAAAATTTTCGTGGTTTATAAATTTCTTACTATACAAACAAAGATATAATGTTTTAATAGAAAAGTCATGAAAATATTTGAATTACATTAAAATTTTTATTCAGTCGTGCTTCTAACTGTTAAAAATTTAAAAAAATCATTTCCGTATTGGCTGTATATTTACAGGTGTACAACAATTGTAATCTTTTTTTTTTTCGTTGCTACTACACTTTATTCTTTCTTCGACATTTATTTATAGATTTATAAAATCTAAGCCTCGTTTAAAGGCTGCATTTTTTGGAACTTCGACGTATAATTATAATAGATGTATTGCGTATAGAAACATACATTTTGAATTACTAAAATGATTACGGAGTTTGGTAACATGCTTTTGTTTTAACAGCGGTTATTAATTCATATGGTATAACGTTATCTGATGCTAATAAATATTATAACTACCCAAATTATAAAGACTCTTTTATATTAAATTAACAATGATGCTAAGTAGTTTAGGTTTTAAAAAAATCATCATAAAGTTCAGTTACTTAAATATTTGTGATTTTTTATATGGCGTAAAGCTAAAATCGGGCAAACGAATTTATATTGTTTTGTTTTTTGTTATTTTTCTTCGGGCACAGACTGCTGTAAAGTATTGTGAAAGAGGAAGATCAGATAATCCGCCTCACGTTTTCGCAGTAGCCGATCGAGCTTACCAGCAGATGCTACATCACAAAAGCCCCCAAGTAAGATTTGCAGGAATAGATTTTGAGCCAATGAAAAAAATAACATAGAACATAGCTGAATCAAATGATGTTTAGTTCTAGTTAAGCGGAATCTTCAACTCATTAGACTTAGCCAGAAGGTTTAAATCTTGGAAATAAAATTATGTTTTGTTTTCAAGCAATGTACATTTTGAGCTATTTGATTCTTTTGTTTGATTCTTATTTTGGTTATTATGGAAACAAATAATTACATATGTCATGACGTCTTTATGCTTGCAATTTTAATTCATAATTGTCACATTTCACATTTTTCTTAATGACAATACTTGTAATTAAACATCTACAAGTATAAGAATAACGCAGTTTGATTCTTATTTTGGTTATTATGGAAACAAATAATTACATATGTCATGACGTCTTTATGCTTGCAATTTTAATTCATATATTGTCACGTTTCACATTTTTCTTAATGACAATACTTGTAATTAAACATCTTTAATAATGCATTTAAACTGGAACATTAAAATATATAAAAATGTTACCATATAGATTTATATTACTATTTGTTAGACCGTTTCAGTTTCAGTTTAATGCGAGAGTTATGATGTATATAGTTATATAGCGAGAGTGTTAAATTTAGTTGTTTTTAGAAGAGATCATTTATGGCAAGTTTGTTTACAAATAATGCGTTGTGTAGTTCGATAGTTATAAATTGGTTATTATTATATTATTGTGTCATGTTACTAGAACCTTCTGAGTTTGGTACTTTTCTGTTACTCCCCCCCCCCGCCAAATGGTTAGTTTTTACTATATGAATACAATACTTATTAATATACTTTTAGAAATTTATTATGGACATTTATATATAATATATATATATATATATATATGTTATAATGATTATAATATTATAATAATATAATATAAATATATATTATAATGATTATAATATTATAATAAT